CCCTGGTCTGGGAAGACCCCACATGCCCGGAGCAACTAAGTCTGTGCGCCACAACTACTGAGCCTGTGCTCTAGAGCCCGCGAGCCACAACTACTGAAGCCCATGTGCCACAACTGCTGACCCTGCGCTCTAGCCAGCCCTCTGCCGTGGAGCTGGGAGGGGGTGACCTTAAGCAGACTGTCCCCCCAACCCCCCAGGTCCTGGCCCCGGGGGTCTGATTACAAGGAGCTGTGCCCCCCAGTGACTGCCTGTCCCAGGCCCACAGCAGTTGCCTAATTGTGAATGTCATTAGCTGCCAGCACCCTCAAAATTGGCAAGTGCTAATCATGCCTGTAATTGTCAACTCATGTGAGTGACTTTTTGTTATGCACCTTGTTGTGGATGCAGATGCGAGCCCCAGGAGAGGCCTGGAAGTGGGTGGGGGCTGGGGGGTGGGGCTGGGAGCCTGGCCTGCAGGGTGGGTCCCTGGGGCTCTGGTCTGACTGCGCCACTTATTAGTGGGGTGAGCGGGGTGCCCCTCAGCCTTTCTGAGCTGTTTCCCTGAGGCATGCAGAGCCCCCAGCAAGTCTGGCACTGAACCCGGGGGCTCCCCTGTGCAGCTTTGTGGCCAGGAAGGTGTGAGCCACCACGGCTCAGACTCAGGCCAGCGGTCGAGGGCAGGCTGAGGCACGTGACCAGAGCTGCTGAGGACTGGACCCGCTGACCCGTGGGTTTCTGGCTGGCGTCAGGGGTGGGCCTGCAGTCCCCGGAGGTGGGGAGGAGGCTGGGTCCTGAGAGAATCCGAGGGGCAGGAGAACCCTGAACTTGACCCAGGCTTCTCATGGTGGCAAGAAGGTGTATCGCCAAGGTAGGAGGGGGAGCACACCTCGCTGAGCGCTTTGTTAGCTTGGTTTAGACCTTCTAAGAACGTCGGCATATTCAGACACATGGCCCATGGGCCTTCATCTGTGCGCGTCCCCGGGGCCTCACAGGTGTGAGGAATGGGCCTGGTCCTGTTGCTGTCTGTGCCCTCAGAGCCTAGGGTGGAGCCTGAGATACAGCAGGTGCTCAAACCCCCTCTCGACACCTCAGCCCCCGTGTTCATCCATCTGCTGCCCCCGAGTGGATGGGACACTCGGAGAAAAACAAGCCAGGGTCAGGCGACCACTTAACAGGGGGACTTTATTTACTGCCCTGGAGCAGCATGCCAGGACCCCGAGCCCGCTCCCACACATGGCAACTCCGCGAAGCTGCTACTCAGTTTGGAGCCAAGACCACATGGCACTAGAAAACACGTTGAAAACATCAACGCTCTT